CAATTTTACCTATTTTTTCCAAGTACCGTTTTTAATCATCTGGGAGAAGTTTGTCACGATATAGTCCACTTTGTTTTGAGCTGCTTCTCAGCATTATGAAGGAGGGTACAGCGGTGACACCACAGACAAACACCGGAGGTTTTTTTTTTCTGAGTGTTGTCAACATGGCGGTCGAGACGGGAACGCCCCACCCCCAATGCAGTGACGTATGTTCCAAAGCTCTATTGACCTAATAAGTGTTAATTGGTCTTCGAGCTGTTTGTTATATGCTCAATTTCTATTTGCCAGCCACTTATTGCTACTTGTCCCAACTTTTTTGGGATTTGTTGACACTGTGCAATTTTGAATCAACATTTTTTTCTTTAAAATGTTACATTTACTCAGATTAAACTTTTGATCTGTCATCTATGTTATATTACGAATAAAATATTGACATTTGCCATCTCCACATCATTGCATTCAGTTTTTATTCACAATTTGTTTAGTGTCCCAACTTTTTTGGAATCCGGTTTCTAGTAAAATCATTGCATTTCCGTTATTATAATTAAATATTACATGTTGAAATAACAAGTTACTTATTTTAAATGGAACAACCATAAAAGTTTTTAAAAGTCGAATTAAAAAAGATAGATTTGTAATGTAGTTTGCTAATAGAATCTGTCTGAATGATAATGTTCAGATAAAAAGGAAACACATTTGGTGAGAAGGGGGGAGATGAAATCTCTGATGTCAAGTAGTCTGTGGTATTTTTATTATTCTAGCCAGTCTGGGTCAGTGGAGTTCTGTCTTCTTTTCTTTCTTCCTTCTATGTTTTGACACTAATATTTACCATATGCTCTGTCAGATCTCTCAGAGCTGTGCTTCATTTTAATGTCTTTGTGGTGTGAGCAAATGATGTGTACAGCTGCTTCTGTCAGACAATATTCCCTCTGTCTTGGCCTGCCCAAACAACCAAACAGGCCTCTGAAAACAAGAATCCACGAGCTAATCCAACACACTTCAGCAAACAACAAAACACCACTTTACATGGAAACAGATGACAATTTGATTTCATCTGACATCCAGTTTCTCTCTGACTGTGCCTTCATGGCACTAATGTTAAGATGTATTACAAGGAATTTATACTAAATTATTATAAAAAGTCTTTATAAAACAGAGATTTTAGAAATGTGAATGTTAAATGAGCAAGTCAATACCTTCCTCATCCATCCATCCATCCATTATCTTAACCCGCTTATTCCATTTTGGGTCACGGGGGTCGCTGGTGCCCATGTCCAGCAATTACTGTGCGAGGGGCGGGGTACACCCTGGACGGGTCGCAAGTCCATCACAGGGCCACATAGAGACAAACAAGACAAACAACCATTCACTCTCTCATTCACACCTAGAGACAATTTAGAGTTACCAATCAGCCTAACATGCATGTTTTTGGTCTGTGGGAGGAAACCGGAGCACCCGGAGAAAACCCATGCATGCACGGAGAGAACATGCAAACTCCACCCAGAAAAGCCCCTGGACCGGGGTTTGAACCAAGGACCTGCTCGCTGAGAGGCAGCAGCTCTACCAGTTGCGCCACGGTGCTGCCGTCAATACTTCCTGTTTCCTGTAAACTCTGGCCTGCTATTGACTCAAGAGTTACAACTTTTTTTAGAGTATTGTGAATTTAATTTCATGTAAAGAAGGAAACAACAGTGTTTTAGGTAAAGTTCTCATACCTTCAGATGTCTTGCTAGTTTCTGGATCTGCCAGTATTGAGAAAATGGGTCTATATTACTCTCTGGGTGGAACTTTAGTTGGTCCTCTTCTTCATCACTTTCAGAGGAAGTGTCGCTGAAATATGCCACAAATGCAGCTTCTGCTGAGGATTTCCTGAAAACCAAAAGTAAATAAGAACACATTACTGACTACATGGAGCAACAATTGTGTGTAGGACAGATGACACACAGCCAGACAATGAAAGCAAATATAAAATCATTAATGTATTTGTGTGTGTGGGGGGGTGGGGGGGATTAACTTAAATTCAGTTATGTTCTTCAGTTATATAGCATCAAGTCACAACAGAAGTAATCTCAGGGCAATGAACAGAAACATTCATCCATCCATCCATCCATTATCTTTACCCGTTTGTTCCATTTTGGGTCACGGGGGTCACTGGTGCCCATGTCCAGCAATCACTGTGCGAGGGGCGGGGTACACCCTGGACGGGTCGCAAGTCCATCACAGGGCCACATAGAGACAAACGAGACAAACAAACATTCACTCTCTCATACCTAGGGACAATTTAGAGTTACCAATCAGCCTAACATGCATGTTTTTGGTCTGTGGGAGAAAACCGGAGTACCCGGAGAAAATCCACGCATGCACGGAGAGAACATGCAAACTCCACCCAGAAAGGCCCCTGGACCGGGGTTTGAACCAAGGACCTGCTCGCTGAGAGGCAGCAGCTCTACCAGTTGCGCCACTGTGCTGCCCCAGAAACATTCATATATAAAAATAATAATTTAACATTATTTATCTGAGGAACAGACTGCTTTTAATTTAACTCTCAAAGCTGATCTAAAAGCACTGATTAGTCTCATTAGAATGATTTGTTCAATTAGCTTTGTAGAGATCTAGTAAGAGTGCTGTATGAATGGGTAAATGAGGACACAGATTGTAGTGTAAAGCGCTTTGAGTATCTTGAAATAAGATAGAAAGGCGCTATATAAGTACAGTCCGTTTAACTCCATCGCAGAACTCTCATCTTGAGCAAGCACGAAGACAACAGTGGAAAGGAAAAACGCCCTCATGAGGAAGAAACCTTCAGCAGAACCAGGTTCAGGACAAGCGGTCATCTGCTTCGACCGGCTGGGTTTGGTAGGAAAAGATACACAATGGCAGATCAAGAATCACGTTAAGATAGAAATAGTATTAAATTAAAACTATTCAATTTTAACTATTCATTTAAGGAAATGAGGTCAATTTGTCCTCCAGCAGTCTAATCCCAAGGCAGCATAAGAAGCCAACATTAATTATAGGATTTATCAAAAAGGAAAGTCTTAAGCCCAGTCTTAAAACTGGACAATGTGTCAGCCCCACGGACAGAAACTGGAAGTTGGTTCCACAAGAGGATAACCAGGGCTTAATTTGTAAACCGATCGATGCTGGAATGCAAATAGTGGGTGGACTGGCTTGGGGGGTGGGGGTGTCTTGGAGAATGTGCATGCTCACAAGACAAGAACCTGACTTGAATTGGATGGCTTCAAACTTCTTGAGTTTTGATGATCAGAAAACTGAGGTAATTGTGTTTAACACCAGCTCTGCCACTGTCACTGATCCTGGAAATCTGTACTCCCTTCAGCCACATCTAAAGTAGTCGGTTACCAATCTCGTCATAGTGTTAGACTTGGACTTTAAGTTTAATAAACAGATCAACTCTATTCTACAAAAAAGCTTCTTTCAGCTAAGGCAAATAGCAAAGCTTAAGTCTGTTCTGTCCAGATGTGACCTTGAAAAATTAGTCCATGCATTCATTACAACCTGACTAGACTATTGACACCCACTATCAGGGGAGTGGTGGCGCAGAGGTTAGAGAGGTGGGCTTGTGATCCGAAGATCGCCGGTTCACGCCCCGGCCCCGACAACATCAAAATTGTGGGTGGGGTAGGTGAAACACCCACACTTGCCCCCACCATCATTCGCCCCACTCTGGGCCCATGAGCAAGGCCCTTAACCCCACCATCTGCTCCCTAAACAGGTCTCTCTTGAAAATGAGTTCTCGTGGCTCAATGAGACTAACCTGGATAAATAAAGGCTAAAAAAAATAAAAAAAAATAAAAATTGTAACTCACTTGTGGTGACTGTGGCTGAGTGGTTAGAGCAGTCGTCCTCCAATGCGAGAGTTGGGGGTTTGAATCCACCAGCAGTCACATGCTAAAGTGTCCCTGGGCAAGACACTGAACCCCTCATAGCCACTGATGTATGTCCCATCAGTGTATGAATGTAATCTAAAGCACTGATTAGTCTCATTAGAATGCTTTGTTCAATTAGCTTTGTAGAGATTTAGTAGAGTGCTGTATGAATGGGTAAATGAGGCACAGACTGTAGTGTAAAGCGCTTGTTGGGGTCAATCAGGCTTCCTTTTCACGTCGCCAGCTCGTACAAAATGCTGCAGCTCGGCTTTTAACAGGAACTCGCAGGTTTGAGCACATTTCACCGGTTCTGGCCTCCCTTCAGTGGCTTCCTGTGCGTGTCAGAATAAACTTTTAAATTCTCCTGCTGACATTCCAGTGCATTAACGGTCTCGCACCCTCATACCTCTCTGGCCTTCTTCAACCTTATGTTCCTTCTCGGGCTTTGAGATCATCAGACCAGCTGCTTTTGGTGGTACCAAAAACCAAGCTGAAGCTCAGAGGAGATCGAGCCTTTTCAGACGTGGGCCCTAAACTCTGGAACAATCTGCCCATCAACATTCGACAGGCCACTTCAGTCTCCGTTTTTAAAACTCTACTAAAAGCACACCTATACTCATTGGCACTTAATACTGGGTGATCGGATTTAGATTTAGTATTTCATTGATTCTGATTGTGTTTATGCTTGCTGTTTTATTCCTAATCTGATTTAGTATTTCATTCTTTCTGACCGAGTTGATGCTTTTTTGTTATTATTCCTTGACTTTTGACACTGGGTGATCTGATTTTGTATTTCATTGTTTCTAATTGTGTTTTGTGTTTAATATTTTTATTCCATGTGCTGTAAATATATCTTGTTACTTTTTATTTGATGCTGTGATCTTTTTGTTAAGCATTTTGGTAATGGTTTCTGTTTTAAATGTGCTATATAAATAAATCTGACTTGACTTGATTAATGCTCCTAAGCCTTCTGCCTGAGGGGAGCGGGGTAAAAAGTGTGTGAGCTGGGTGTGTGGGGTCCTTCATGATGCAGGTGGCCCTCTTCCTGCATCTGCAGGTATAGATGTCTGTGATGGTGGGGAGGCTGACTCCAACATTCTTCTGTGCAGCTTTCACCACTCTCTGCAAAGCTTTTCTTTCTGCAGCTGTGCAGCCTCCATGCCACACGTTGATGATGGAGCACAGGATGCTCTCCACTGCACACCTGTAAAAGGAGGTGAGGACTGAGCTTCCCAGTCCAGCTCACCTCAGCCACCTGAGGAAGTAGAGTCTCTGATGTGCTTTCATGATCAGGCTGGTAGTGTTGTTGATCCAGCTGAGGTTGTCATTCAGGTGCACACCCAAGTACTTGTAGCTGGAGAGCACTTCCACTGCAAATGCAAATCCTCTTATGATCCGGGGGGGGGGGGGGGGGCTTAGGGGGTAGCTGTGTCTATTCCTTCTGAAGTCCACAACCATTCACGTTCACATGGTCCTTCACATCACTTTGACATCAATTCACACTGATGTGAAGGTTATTCGTCCTGCACCAGCTCTCCATGTGTTCCATCTCCTGCCTGCAGCTGGACTCATCATTATTTCCTGGATCGGTCGTACGCAGTCATATGTTAGCAGAGTGAACAGGAGGGGTCTTAACACACAACCCTTGGGGGAACCCGTGCTGAGGGTTATGGTGGAGGAGGAGAAGTTGTGGATTTTCACAGATTGTGGTCTGATGGTTAAGAAGTCTAGGACCCAGTTGCATAGCGAGTGATTTAGTCCTAGAGTGATTAGTTTGTCCATCAGGGTCTGGGGAATCATAGTGTTGAAGGCAGATGTGAAGTCCACAAAAAGCATACGGACGTAGGAATCCAAGTGGGTGAGAGCAGTGTGGACCACAGAGGAGATTGCATCCTCTGTTGATTGATTCTCACGGTATGCATACTGGTGAGGGTCCACGTTGATGTTAGCTTTGATGTGGGTCATGACCAGTTTTTCAAAGCATTTAGTGACTATCGGCGTAAGGGCTACTGGCCGATAGTCATTCAGGCCAGTCACTGTAGAGCTCTTTGGAACTGGGATAATGGTGACAGTCTTGAGGCATGTGGGAATTTTTGCCATTGTGAGGGAAGAGTTAAATATGTCGGCCAGCACCTCGCAGAGCTGATCGGCACAGTCTTTCAGCACCTTCCCTGGGATGATGTCCTGGCCACTTGCCTTGTGAGGATTGATCCTCCTGAAAGTACTTTTTAATTCTGCTGAGATCACACTGAGGAACTCTTCTTCTTGTGATCAGGTGAGTCTGGTGCTGGGTGGTCTGTTTGGGTCCTCAAAGCGTGTATAGAATCTATTGAGAGCATCAGGCAAAGATGGATCCCTAGGGCATTGTGAACCTCTGCCTTTATAATCTGTTATGTGCTTAATGCCCTTCCACATGTTCTATGTGTTTTGTGAGAAGACGTGTCCCTGGATCTTCTGTGCATATGCTGCTTTGGCCCTTTTAATACCAGCATCCAGCTCTAACCTCGTCTTCCTCAGCTCCTGTGAATTGCCAGATCTGAAGGAAGTGTCCCTGGCTCTCAGCAGGGTGTGAACCTCTGCATTCAGCCAGAGCTTTTGATTCGGATAGCTCTTTACATTCCTGAAGGTGGTGACGTCATCAGTACACTTAGAAATGTAACACAGGACTGAGGATGCGTATTCTTCCAAGTTTAGCGCCCCTACCTCCTTGACAGCAGCTTCCCTGAATACCTGCCAGTCCGTGTGTTGAAAGCAGTCCCTTAAAATAGTCACTGTTTCTTACCCACCCCATTAATCTATTTTGTGTTGATCTGGAGCATCTCAGCGGGGGAATGTAAGCAGGAGCTAGAAAGATTGATATGTGATCAGAGAGTCAGGGGTGGGAGCGGGGTACAGCTTTATATGTGTCTTTCACGTTGGCGTAAACAGGGTCTACTATGTTATTTTCTCTTATAGGAATGGTCACATGCTGATAAAGAC